TGTAGGGAGGAAAAATTAGATAAATAGCAACGCGCACCAGACTAGCCGGTGCGACCATGCGGGCGACGAACTCCTAGACTCCGCGGTCCCCGAGATATTAAGTTACCCGTGGAAGACTTTCATGGGGCCATATGTGTTACCCGCGGGTACGGGAAGGCTGAATTTGAATGGGCGAAGTTGAGCGTGTGCAGGGAGTCATTACCCTAAAATTTCAGCCTCCTAGACTCCGTAGTTCCCGAGATATTAATTTACCCGTGAAAAACTTTCACGGAGCCATATGTGTTGCCAGTGGGTACGGGGAAGCTGAATTTAAATTTGCTGGTCACACGTGGGTGGGGAACGTCCCCCTAGATTTTCAGCTTCCTAGCTTTTGTAATTCCCGAATTGAAAGTTGCGGATAAGTTGCTGCGGACACACACACAACACAGACAACCCCGTGACAATATGCGTTTTGTACTGCTGTTACACAGCACAAAACGCATAAAAAGTGGGATCGGCGGTTGTGAAATTTGATTGGGTCCGATGTAAAATTTTTGCACAGAATATGATCACGAAAATGTGAAGTCCTGCTAAGTGACCGAAAGGTACTGTTTGGAAACCAGCAAATTTGAAAAAAATGTACAGTTAGGTCGAGACACTAAATTTATTGCGTGAGTGTTAAAAATTGTCATATTTAGGTAAATAGAGTTCGACCTTTGGAAAACGATATTTTGGGAAGGGTCACCAAAATTGCTTCCCATCCTTTTCCTGTCGTGCGGGTGTCACTGCTGTGAGCAGTGATCTGTGGTCTCAGTGTTAAAGGTGACAATGGGAAATTGTTTTGTGTTATGCTGGTTTGTTATTTTAGGTGGATGCTTCTGGCGCACAACTGGACAGTTCGAGCAGTTTTTGTATGCGGTACGTTATTTGTTTAAATAGAAGTTACGAATAGCTGCGATTTGTCTTAGCGATATCGAATTCTTACATTGATTTTATTGAAATTATTTGTAGATGGTGAGGTATTTTTCAAGGCATCAGACTACGGTAAAAGTGAATTGCACTTAGAGGCCTGAATAGATTATTCAAGAGTATACATGAAATTTTGTGACACAAGCAAAAAAAATTACCCCGATTCCTTGTCCTAAGTCCCCCGATGCAATGGCTATCACAAAACCCAGGCAAAAGAAATCTGTCAATGAAAATCAGAATTTATCTGATTGACTAACAGAATTAAAGTTCAAATGTAATGCGAAAGATTGAATCCCGTTTCGTTTCAGGTCGCGAAGTGAAATCAGAGAAGAAGTGAAAAGACTCATTCGTTGCGTGAAATCCAACCACATATCCCGAGAAGAGGCGCTGAAGCAGTTGTTTGAATATATTGCTATGGATTCATCATCATATGTGCTATCCGGCACAAAGCTGCTTCCTTATTCCGATGCGAATTCATCGAAATTCGTGCCAACTGGTGCGAAGGTACTTTTTACATTGCACAAAAATTTTTTTCTTTAACTGATCTGTGTTCATTACTTCCGCCAGCTGATACTTTATCATGGCAGGCTTTCGTTTCGGAGATAAGGTATTCAGCTCGATCGGGTAAGTGCGCCTTTTGCTTTATTTTATTCCTTTACGCCAACATTCTTCTCTTCCTCGCTACAATTCAACACCATGGCTACGAACGCTGGGAAAGTCCAATTTTCGGGAGGGGTAATCTTGCTGAGATCAGTAAAGCAAATTCAGTTTTCGTGCCTTCTTATCTCTTGACATATGGCAGGCATGGCCTTCGCTAATTCAGATACATTCAATATAAATACGACATGTTTGGAAGAACCTATAAAAATGGGTTTTGTATGGAAGCGGTCAAATGTGACAGGCATATATTTTCGATCTGTGAAACTTTGTGAAAATTGATAAGGAAGGAGTGAAGAAAAAGCATTTAGAAAACTTTACTGGATAGGAATGTGTTAATTGGGCGAAAGGGGAAAATGGATTGGTGGAAGCGGTCAGAAATTTGGGGTCAGTTTTAAAATAGACTGGAACAGCTCCAGGCAAATTGTGAAATTAAGTTGTGGTTCATTCGATGAGGACAAAAACGCTTCTTGGCGAAGTAAAACTAGTTGAGGAGATGGGGGTGGAATTATTTATTATCTGTCGTGTTGAAAAAATTCACATATTTTAACTAGCAAAAGCTTGCTACAAAAATGTAACTACTACGTTTGTTGGTTCGCTTCGTATTGTTCAGTTATAGATGAATGTCAGTTTTTTTTCTTCGTTGCAGGTGGATGGCAACAGCAGCGGGAATATGTCAAACACTACGGATTTTGGGTATGTTCTGTGCAATAAGAATATCGTTGTGCAGATTCATTCTGGGGGAATAATTTTTTGAAATATTGTAGCCTGCAGCACCATTTCTCGCTGCTTGGCCATTACAGTAGCAAAGAGCAGAAGCTGTGACTGGAACTGCAGTTGAATTGAAATTAAAATAGAGAAGAATCGGAAAGATGAGGGTGGTAGAAGGGATAAAAAGAAAATTGGTAAGAGTTTAATGGCTGGTTTGCCAGTGAAGGGACTGGAACGGGAAAGAGACTAGCAGAAGACTAGGAGGAAGGAAGGGACCGTGATTCCACGAATTGCT